ATATATATATATATATATATATATATATCATATAATATTGATATTGTTGAAGTTGTTTGTGTCTCATATTGATGTGAATATTTACAAAATTTGATTACGTGTTCATTTAATTACGTATCATTTATGTTTAAACGATAATTTTTAATACGAGTCAAACTTTGTTCTAATAAATATTTATTATAAATGATAACATACTTTCCAAATATATTATCAATAAACTTAAATTAAAATCTTTGAGTTTTTCTTAAATGAATGTTTCTTTGATTAAGAAAAAACGTATCATTTGAACATTTCTTATATCATAAAATGAAAAAACATATATTTTTAATACCATTGGTTTGCGGTAGTCAATCCAAATGAAAATTGTTGTTAAATACATATCTCAAACGTAACATTGGTATTAAACAACATTTTCAAATTAATATATTTCGATATGTGAAAGTTTATATTAAAAAGAATAAATATCAATTTACTATTGTGATGAGTTAATACGGCACTATGTTTGTGCAAATAAACTGCGTTGTAAGTTAAAATATTTCTTTCTTTCCTTCTCCGTTATCTTGACATCCAATTAATATTTAAATTAAGGTATTCAATGTAAGGTTTGTATTTGTCATTTCGCTCAGAGATATAATCTCAATTGTTTTCTGTAATCTATTGGGTCAATGTATAAATTTAATACGATCAAGTTTTGCTTACCTTGAAAATTATACACGTTCTTTTTTTGCAGTATGTCTGTGAATCATTTATTGTCTGCTTAGCATAAGTAATATACGTGCTTTAAATAAAAAATTCGTGTACTGAGTTTTTTCTGCTAACATAACAATATTATAGGTTTCTACAATAGTATTATATATAGTAGGAAATTGAAGAAACACATTTAGTGTATAATTACTAACATTTTAATTACTAACATTTGCGATTGCAAGTTTTTATGTCAATAATTGTGTGAGAATAATTTTTTACATTGTCGAAATGAAATGTGATGTTTTGACAAAATAGAGAATCCAATTTCTTGTAAAATTTGAGAAAAATGAGTCAGAAATTTATGAAATTCTGATTACAAACATCTGATTACAAATTTCTGTCCAAATTTCTTCTTAAGTTTCACATGAAATGTGATTTAATCAACTTATATTTTTATTTTAGATTTTACATTATCAAAAAATGTATTCTTCTTCGTATTTCCAGGTATGGAATTCTACACATGTACAAATTTTTTGTTATACAATTACACATGTGTGTGTATAAAACATCGGAGGTATTCTTATTATATACTATCTACATTTAAACACAAATTATCATCTCATTAAAATAATTCAGGTTTTTATAGATCTAGAAAAAGAATATCATACCTCTAAGCGAACAATGATGACAAATACAAATCTTCCATCGATTATCTTAACAAAAAGTGATGATAAAGCAAAAAAGGAAACAAAACAATTTGCATAAATAAATTTTAATTAATATATGAAAATCAGACAAATGAAAATGCGACGAGAAAAAAATTTTAATTTGTAACGCTGCGTGCTGCACGAATATGCCTTGTTGATCATACATTAAAATAATAAATTGATATTTTTTTAATGTAGACTACCGTAATGTATTAATTTGAAAATATCATTTAATACCAATGTTATATTTTCATTTGTGTATATGTATGTGTTAAGATTTTGATTAATTAATATTACGAATCGAGTCTTAAAGAATTAAATGCTTTTTACATTTTATGTATGAGAGATGTAATATTCATTTTCGACACAGAGCAAGATATAAGTTTATACGAAAAAAATTTAAATCTGTGTGATACTTCTTTAAGTACATTATTATATCTAATCCTTAAAAAAACAGAAGAAGAATGGAAAAAATAAATGTAAAATTTCTAATTAATTGCATTGAATTTCACGACAAATTTTATATAATATCGCATATTTGTTTTTTATTATATTAAAAGATCATATAGTTTTTTTCTAATTTACCAAGAGACATAAACTTTTTATTTATAACAATCTCCTATTATTAGCATGCTTCCAATAGATGAGACTTTCCACGTCAAATCAGGCACCTTCGAAACATCATTTTTATTTTTATTTTTTAAATTTGTTGGTATTCTACAGATAAGAAAATGAGACACGTGTTTCGCGAAAAAAATTTCAGATTTTTTTGCGAAGTTATTCACGCTTGTAAGTTTCAGAAGTTCATAAAAAACTCATGCGAACATTGAAGTTATATCATCAAAGCCATTAGCCGTACAAAAAAAATGCAAGACACCGATTTTAAAGATCTTCTATCAACAGAACAATTTAAGATTGTTAAAGTCGATCTCTTACGTTTTTTTTTGTACGACTAACGATTTTAACAATATAATAATTAGAATGTTCGCATGAGCGACAAAAAAAAAATAATAAAAACGATGTTTCAAAAGTGTCCGCGGATTGACGTGGAATGTTTCACATACGTGTATAGTTTATTAACAAATTTTCGTGTATAAGTCAAATTCAAATCTTCGTTTTTAATCCAGAAAGTTCTTTTGTACATTTGCATAGTACTATACATATTAAATTAATTTTTAATTGAAAATGTTGAAAAATTAAAATATTTCGTGTACACGTACGCACGCATGCATACATTTAGTGTCTTGTCATTTTATGGTAAATTACTTTATGTTATTACTTTATGTTATTTTTAATTACTTCTGAGCTATTTTAATATATCATTATGTTATATTCTGTATATTGGAATTGAGATCATATACTTATACCTAAATCAACTATAATTATGTTATCTTCTATATGGCAAATTATAATAATCTTTGTTACAAATACTTGTATATCTAAAGCTCAAATTATTGTTAGCTTGTGCATTTTCTTATTATGTGTTTTGTATACGATTTCTGTACGATCTTATAAGAAGTCAGGTGATGAGATATGAAGCTGAATTTAATAGAGATTAGTTAAATTGTAAGATCTAATCTATTTTTAAAATAAAATACAATATGGTTTTGGTTATATATATAATAAACATGTTTCAAGGTTTAAATTTATTTTAATTAACATATATGACCAATTAAAACAGAATTAAAACAGAATTCGGGTTTTATATTGTAAGGAATAAAATTATAATTTTCAAAAGTATAATATATTTTATTTGAATTACAAAAGCATATTCACTACAAACATAATTCCCTTAAACATATCTTACTTATACAGATATTACAAAACAATTACGAAATCGCGGCTTTGGAGACGTTAAGCGTGATCGAGATCATTAGAATCAAAAATAGTTGTCGTTCAAATGTGATTCAAATTAACCACCACAATATGGACGACGCGCTGGATGCAACTTTCTATTGGCTGTTGGAAAACGCTGCGCAAGAACACATCTTTGTATATTTCCATGATGGATCGGACTTCCCACTTCAATTCGGTATATATTTAGCAATGTTGGCGACACTGTTATTAAGAAAAACGGTCGGGAATTGTCGGAAGTGTCGGTACGATTCTAAAATAAAACTTCTAAATAGCATTTTCGATTAGTCGTCGCGAGTAGTGTACGTACGATATGTCTTACGTCTTTTTCTCTCAAAATGCTTCTCATCAGTGCCGGCATATAAATGAAAGAATAGTTGGAATCGCGAATGATGCGCACTGATGCTGATGCATATGCACCGAAGATCGTTCACGAAGACCATCGTTTTCGTCCATTCGCTCGGGCATCCGCGATTTTTCGAGTGGCGTGGTCGCGTATAGTAATCCACACTATAGTGCCGCAGTAGAGTAGCAGCAGAGCCCAGCATCATCCCGCGAAGATCTTCGTAACCTCTCTACTGAGTTGTTCTCATCCCGCCAGCTTATCGTAAGAGACGTCCAAGCGTAAGATAGATAGAGAGTGAGAAATCATTCCGGGCAAAATTAAATTGTAAATCTTAGCTACAGTTAGCTTTTTTTAACTGGCGATGAGCGACAATAAGCAGGTAGGTGAAACTCCCAGTAGCGAGGTTGCTAACCGATTTCGAAGCTGTAGGGATCTGAGCGACATTGTACCGTTGTATCCGTCGCACGCGCTTTATCTGAAACCGCTTGCCAAAGTTAACGTGTCGGTCAGTCTGCCCCAACTGAAGACTCCAGGTAAAAACAACATCGTCATCAGTATCAGTGGCCTCCTCTGTGGAGGATGGACCTTGACTCTCTTCTCTCTGCCTTTTGTTCCCTTCTCTCTTCTTTTTCAAATTGGTATTGCAATTTACACATACATTTTTATCATAAGAATGCACAGAGTTTATGAAACTTCAATTCTTATTCAAATTTTAGCTTTTTTTTCATCATTTTCTATACCATAATATTGAATATCGTGTTGTGATTGATTTGGAACTGTATATTGTAGCATTAAAATTGCACAAAATTCGTATCATGATCTAAACATGAAATAATAAGCAGAGAAGAAAAAATATAAATTAGACAATAGGAGTCAAGCCGACAGAACTCGAACAAGTATTTAAACTGATGTTTACATTTTATCAACTATGCTTTAGCTCTAATTTTCTTTTTTTGATCATGCATCTTAAAATTTTTATGATAATAAAATATTAAAATTAATAATTTATTATACTTAGTTTTGGAATAACAATCTCAATAAACATGAATTGTATATTTTTTATCTATAGTGCTAACATGTATTTAGAAAAAATGAAATAGAACATTTTTCTGTTTATTACTTATTATTAGAATACTTTACGGAATAATTTATATTAATAAAATTAGGGCTGTTCACGATATTAATGTTTTTCTTTATAATTTTAAAAATTAATTAAATAAAAAGACTGTATTATGATAATAAGTTTCTAGAAAACAAACTTTTTTTTCTTTTTATAATTACATTAATATCATAAGAAATTAGAATTATCATATTATTTTGATATTAATGTTGAAATTGCAATGTGTTTTTATTATGAAAATAATATGCACTTTATGAATTTTAATTCTTTAAGTTTTAATTTTTATCATTTTGTATATTTTAATTTTAATATACTTTAATATATTACATATATATTTTTAATTAAATACTGACATCATTTATGTCTTTAATTTTAATTTATATCTGATATTAATTCCAAATATATTTTTATATCCTTATTATTTCAGCATTTCATTATTTTTGTCAGCATTTACTTAAGTGATGATAATCATTTATCTTGATAATATCGTTTATTAGTAATCTATTATTTTAACTAATTTATAATATTTTTTTTTGAGAGACAAAATTGTCGCAACTAAACCAAATCATACCATAAAGAATCTATCACAATTATATGTTTATGCCATCGATGGTCTCTAGTGGAGAATGACAGGAGAATAACGTAGCATCTGTTGGAAGAAAAACCATGATCCCAAGTGATCCGTGCGATGCCACGAGCACTTCTAACAGCTTTTAGTAAAGATAGCTTCTTACAGACTGTTAACTGCGCTATAAACAGGCAAAACTATATCGACATGGGAGGTAATGGAGAAGATACGCGCGCTTATACTGCCGGACGAATTTGCATCCCTGAAAGTGGCCAAGAGCACCTTGGAATTCATCCGGCTGGAGGGCGACCTGCGGGACCGGTGCAGGTTGTCAAGAGTGCTGGCCAGGTTGGATTTGCAACAGTTGAATCTGTCCGGCTTCTCCAATGTTCTCAAGGTAAAACACAGCCAAGTTTCATCGCGCTATACATTTTCAATTAAGCGCAGTGAAATTTGTAACTTGAGTTTTATTGGAGTTAATTAATAACGAACAATAATAATATGCATGTAAGGTTTAAAAAACAAACAAAAGATATTTTTTTTAGTATCAACGAAGATAATAATCTTTAAGACAAATATTGACTATAAAATAGGAAATAAGTAAAAAACAGTCAAATATAGTTGAGGCTAGATTTTGACGCCCGATAATATTCACATGTAAATTTTAAATACATTTCAAATTTGACAGTAATCGACGCATTTATATATTATAATAACTAGGTGTATTTAAATTTTATGTGTATTATTAGGCACTAAGATTATTTTTGGCCCTTCTTATTTGATTTATTTATATAATGATAACTAACTTATTGTATAAAAACGAAATTGTCAGTTAATGCTTGACTTCAACATTTAGGTCCGCGCGGCCGAGGCGAAGGATGATTTCCCAACTAGACATAGCTGGAACTCCTATTTTAGAGATGCAAAACATATGAATGAGTTAAAGGCCGGCGAAAGACCGGACACCATTCATATTACTGGTCTACCGGTTAAGTGGTTTACCGAAGATAATACAAATGTACCGAGTGAGTCACTCATTACAAAGATCTTTAAAAAATGGGGCGCATTGAGGAAAGTTGACGTGCCCGCTGCGGATTCCTACAGATCCAGAATGCGGCTCGGTAATAACATTCATAAATTCAGCTTCGAAGATGGCATATTTTTCGACGTGTATGTACAATATGTCGAATACATGGATTTTGTCAGAGCGATGGACGCTCTGCGCGGCATGAAGCTGTTGAAGAAGGATGGTCAGAATTCGTTAACCGCAACACTAAAAGTAATTTTTAATAGAAAATATATCTATTGCGATATCAATACTTTCTGTATTAATACTAATGTAATTAATTGTAATCTATTTTCCAAAATTTTATTAATTATAAAGTGGGGTTAACGTAACATTTTTATTATAATGATTACAATGGTATATACGGTAAATTATTTTGAAAAATAAGTAGAATAAAAGAGGAAAGATTATCTAATCGAATGTCTTTTGATGTGTAACTAATTCCGTATAGGTTGATTTTGACAAGACCAAACATTTGAGTGACAATTCGATATCGCACCGTGACTTCGAGAGAAAACGTTTAATAGCACAGGATAATTTAGCAGCGGAGAAAATGCGGAAGAGAGAGGAAGCAGAAAAAAAACGGCAAGAGGAACAAAGGTAAGCGTTCTAATAACAAAAAAAAACTAAGATATATTTCGTAAAATAAATATGGAAGGTTACAAAGACTAATGGCTTCTGCAAACAGGACGCGGCAAACAATCGGATTCTGTAGTTTAGGTACAATATGGAACCCATTCCATTGATTTTTAAGTTATATATCTGTTCTATATGTATTTTACTTTAAATATTCTCTACGTTATACGACATATAAAATTATAAATAGAATTATATTCCGAATTTAGTTGCAAATTATGGATCGTCTAAAATAGGCTTTACATTAAACCAAAATTTTTAGCTTTATTGCTCGTTTCTTTGTAATCTTTTACATTTGTTTTACACATACAAGCTTGAATATTATTTAATATTTATTATATTATGTAAATACTGTATAATATATTATTTGCAATATAAAATTATTTTTGTTTTGACCTTAGAAAAAAGGAGGAGGCAGATTCGATGGCGAAAGTAAATCGACAACGAAACCGGGAAGAAAAACGAAAACGAAAGGCCCTTACGAAGTTTCGTAAGCAAGAAGAGGATAAAGTTTCTATGAAGATTGCAAGAGAAGAACAAAAGTTGATAAAAGCTCAACGGCAGTTGGAAAGCATACGTTTATTAGATGAACTATTTGATAGAATAAAGGTAGATAATAAAAAAATATGCAATATACATAAAATCTCTTTTTAAGGTTGAATGAAACAAAATTAATTTTGTGAATACTGATAACATATTTTATTAATTATAGACAAAAGTGGAGAAAAAAGAGATTAAGCTGGATCAGAACATGGAAAAGAAGGGTGAAAAGAAAAACAATCAAACAAATGAAAAGAAAGTAGATTCGGAAAACGATAAGAATAAGGAAAAGCAAATTAAGAAAACAATGAAGAAAGAAAAAAAGAAAAAGGTATTTAACTATTTCAGGTCCATTATACAGGGTGTCTCATAACTACCGAATTATATTTTAAGGACGTATTTTTGAGATAATTTTGTGATAAAAATCTTAATATAAAAATGGTTATTACGACTAAATAATTTTTAAGAATTAGCATTTAATGATATTATTATTGTTTACAGAAAAAGCGAAAGAAAACGCAGAAAAAACGGAAAAAGGGCGATAACTCTGTTTCAGACAGCACAACTGAAGAAGAATCAGATAAAGAGACAAGTAAGAAAAAACTCAAGAGTGTCTTGATAAAAAACGATGGTGCAACTTCGTCTACAGGTAATTTTTGGCTATATAAAATATTTGATACTTTAATTATGTATATATATAAAATATTATATTTTATTACTTTTATTCTACAATGTATAAAAAATATTTTATATTTATATAATTATATACATGTATATGTATGTATATACAGGTGCAGGAAATCTTCCTTATGAGTATTCTGATTCGATGTCGGTGTTACCATCGATGGCATCATTCCAAGCAATGAGGATGCCGAGATATGCGAGAAGACAGATGATGCGGTCGCCAGGATATTCTGCGATGTCACTTCATCATCCCATGTTACCTGTGGGCAGAGGCCGAGGATTTGTTCCACGATATGAGATGAACTATACGCTAACAAATCCTTATTTGTATAACGGGCAATATTACGAATATTTTACACATCTAGTCGAGCGAGATTCGAAGCAACAAAAATCGAAAATACGTAACCGCCAAAAATCAACAAGTAGATCTATCTCAAGAACGAGAACTAGATTGGGTTCTAGGAGAAAATCTAGAAGTATCTCTAGATCGCATAGTAGAAGACGCAGCGATTCGCGTTCCAAGAGTCGTCAAAGGTCGAAGTCAAGATCCAGATCGAGATCACATAGATCAAGATCACGATCACGCAGATCAAGGTCGCGATTGCGCAGATCGAGATCACAATCGCGCAGATCAAGATCACAATCGCGCAAATCAAAATCGCGATCGCGTCGACCGAAGTCTCGGTCTAGAAATCGCTCTAGATCGCGTAGTCGCCGAAAATCGGGAAGTAGATCTTGCTCGAGAAGAAAAACAAAGTCTAGATCTAACTCTAAGACGAGGCACAAGAATAACAAATCGTGCAGTAGATCCAAATCAAGTTCCAGAACGCGTCCTTCTAGATCCAGACGAAATTCACGATCTAGAAGTCGCTCCAAGTCTCGCAGCAGAAATCGTTACAGAAGCAAGCGTGGCAAGAGATCGTCTTCTATTGTAAAAGTTACACGAGCGAAATCACGACCCACATCACCCAGACGAAGATCACGCAGTAGTTCTTGGTCTTTGCCAAAGTCACCAGGTCGTAGAAGTTGCTCTTGGTCAAGAGCTGCTTCTGCAAATAATGTTAACGAACAAGACGTGAGCAAGGATTCTGAAAAACTTATTCAAGAAGAAACAGCAAAGACAGTGGAAATGCTAAGCGCAGAAACGAATTAATTTGGCACTTGATTTCGTTAAAGCATGTCAAGAAGAAACATTAAACATACAATTATACAAAAAATAATCATACTTTTAGTATACTTTTAGTATACTTGCTACACAGTGCGAATACTTAAAGTTTCTCTAATTACAAAATGTAGATAGAACTTTCTTCTTGTATATAATGTGTAAATAATTATGTTATGATGCGGTTTTTCTGTATATTTTTGTATTTAAATTAAACTTTTAAAATGTTTTTGTTCTACGTTTACTTATATGACAAAATGAATTGAATGAAAATCTCTAAAAACATTAATTCAAAATAATTAATAATGGAGATAGGATAATCAATAGTCAACATTAACGTATCGAAGTATGTAAAAAAATAGAATAACTTGTTGAAGAAAAGTTCTGTTTATTATGTATTGCATTCCAATTAAATTGCAAGATTTCTTAAACTTTGAAAGACAAAACTATACTTATTGGTATTATATCTTGATGAGTCTCAATTCTATTCGATTCGCATTCGAACTACTTACACATATACAAAATGATTCTATCAATAACTAAGCTAGGGTAATTAAGATTCAACTATATACGTCTCTTTGTAAATGGACTACTTTTTTTAGTGTAAATCATTTCTTATTATTCTATATATAAAAATATATAAAAAAATAAGATAAGTATTAAGATAATCGGAAATATACTTGCTATTTATTTCATATCAATTTTATTTAAGTACTTAAATATACTATTATAACATACAAATGCATTTATTTGAAAAAATATCATGGAACGATAGATCATAGTAAATAGAATCTTCTCTATAATTTTTTTATCTTTCAAAAAAAACTGTAATTTGGCTTAGTTACTAGAATCATCTTGTATATAAAAATCTTGCGAATCAATTATATTTCGTACTATTATTGAAATTGCAATAATATAAATTGGACAAAAAAGGGGAGTGTCTTTAAATAAAGAAATAATATCAGAATAGAAGGTATTCAATTTAACACACAAGAAAACCGAAGACACGTACATAGACATATAAAACAAACAAATACGGCTTATTACAATACAAATATACTGCATTATTTTTATTAAGCATTTCCTTGATTTACGTTTTCCTTGTTTGATTTATTCTTCTTAAGTGGGAAGATATATTTGAAGATGATAATATTAATGTTTTCATAAATAAAAAAAAAATAAATTTGTCTTTTACACATTTTGTTATTGATTTTTTAAGATGTTTAATCCTTAGTAACATGATGATTTGTGACATTTTTATTACACATGATAGTTCCTTGGGTTAATTTTCATCATTTTCACAAGTAAATATATAAAAATGATTAAGAGTGATTTCTATTACTCAAATGATCTTAATATTGACCTTGATCCTCAAAGAGGATCAAGGTCATCACCTTTTCCATCGCTCGTTGTTCATTGAAAAATTATTCAACATCCTGAGAACATTCGCAAGAAGAGATCTCTATAAATTCCGGAACACATACAATTATTCATATACATATATATATTAATTCTGTAAGTGATAAAGAATATGTTAGATTTATTCTACAATCTAATTACTACGTTATCAAATTTTTAATCTTTTTTATTCATTTTTTCTTTCTTTTCGTTGTTAATAGTAAACTATGACGCAGGAATTAATTATGAAAGGAGGAGGAAATCAGGAAATAATAATAAAGATTCAAAACACAATCCTTCTGACTTGCAAATTTATTTGTTCTCGGCATGAAAACGCGTTGGTTCATAGACATCGTAATAGTTTACATACGCGCGTTCCGTCCTTCGTTAATAATGATCGATCAGCTTCGTGATTAACGCTAGTTTTTAAAGAGTATCGACCGGGCCCTATTTTTAACGCGGGATTCGCAATTTAATCGGTCGTTTAGTGCCATGGCGTTCGTATATTTTCTCTCCTTTAAAAATATGCGCTACGTTTCTGTCGTCGCTATTATAATTAAATACACGTGACGTATGTACATACTTCCTCTCGCATTAATCGCACCCCACATTTTATAGCGAACTCGTCCGTAACGTTCACCGCCGTTGATGTCGAATCTCTAATAATGGAAGATACTTAATCGTTCTCCGTCGAAAAACGTTCTCCCGCTTACAATTTTACTTGGGGTTATACTTTCTTCCCTCTTCGTCCCCTTCCATTTAATTATCCCCTAAGACAGTTGATCCTATCCTCGGAATTGATTAGATATTGACTACTTTCAAGATTCGTTGCGTGGGATTTGTTCCTTAAAGCGACGCGGACGATAGCATCCCTGTCCCGTCATGTTAAACTTAAATTATTAATCGCAATTATAACTCGTTTCATGTGGCCGCTAATTATAATTAGCGAATTTCGACACTTCACCCCTGAAATACTTTCTGTAATGCAGATTTTCGTTCACTTACGCGTGCCATCGTTTATATATAATTCCGTCATATAAATATATCTACATAGTCAATCTGTCAAAAACAGATTTTACAAAGTGTACACTACAAATTTTGTCGGCAGAATGCCAGCGGAAATGTGACAGAATTTAGTTAACAAAACATAATGGCAGATGACTGCAAAAATCGAAAAAAATTGTTCGATCACTTGGTTACTATTTAAATAATATGTTTCATTTAAATAGTTGCAAAATAACGAATTCTGCTGGCAATTTGCTGTCGGATTATGTCGGCAGGCTCTGTTGGCAAAATTTATAGCCCTTGGCTATATCACTAGACGCATCATATATTTTACAATTTATTGATTTCCAAGATTTGGATGTACATATATTATACTATGATGCAATCATTTTGATGTAACTGATTGTAATATGTAAAGAAAATAGTTGTTTATAAAATAGATGTATTTTAATGGATGTATCATTCACTCGTTACTTACAATATCCATGAAAGATATGAACCTGTTAATGCTTGTAGAGACGACAACAAGGAAAGTATTTTCTGTTACAGAAATATCCTTTCATTTGTCATAGAATGAACTTGAATTCAATCATGAATTTTAATTTCAACATTACATGACACTATTATTTAAAGCTCTCGTATCCATCGAGTTTAACGGAATATTAAAAAAATATATATTCCTTTTTATTTTATAAAAAAAGTAAATAAATATTTAATGAATAAAAACTGTGTTTTTATTAATTGAAAATATGTTCAAGTGAAAGAGAAAATTCTACTTTAAATATGCAAAAATAATAATAATTGTTACTTTCGGCCACTTAAGATGAATCTATCGGCGCGTCTAATAATATGGCCACGCTATAATAACGGAGGCAGATGACGCTAATCTATAATATTTTGCACAAATTTGCTGGCATTTTATTTATTTATTTATTAGGATAAAAGATAATTATATGTGTGTATACATATCCGCGCAACTACGTGTAAATAAGCTTTACGAACATTACGAATAATTAAAAACGATGCCAGCGACGAAAGGATAAAATTTAGTCGACTGAAAAAACTAATCAAACTATGAAAAAAAAAAAAAAAAAACGCGACCGTCATAATCGGCAGCGAAATATCTAAGATCAGTGTTCATAATACTATACTTATTTTAAGATTGTCTTAAGTAATATCTTAAGATACACTGATACAATTTTGTGATTGGTTTATAACATCTTAAGATACTTAAAACTGTCTTAAATATAAGAACCGATTATACGAATACTGCTCTAAGGCTGGATTGTTCCTATCTTTCAGAAAACTTTGGTTTCATTGTCCTACTCTCTTATGTTCTCTTTTGTTTATCCAGAAGGTAAATTATCACACAGTTTATCCGAAGAGGGAACAGCCGGCTCTATATCTCGCATCTGACTTTACAATTTAGACAATAATCTGAAGAATCGCTTCTTCTCCGTTAAGCATTCAAAGAGTCAAGTCTCGGATTGGCACTCGAATGGCTATGAATGAAAAAGTAAACCTCGCCAGGAACCGGCAGTGGCCGCCGAATCCCGAGACGTAGGACGAGCGCTATCGTCTGCGTGAATTTTTCTTGTTGATAAAAGTGTGAGAACCTTAGCGTCGTTTTACACTGTCCGAGTCTAGGAATCACAGAAACGCTTGACCATTTCGACAAAGCGATGTCGCCGCGTCTCTCAGCTCGACGTGAGGCATAGTTATAATCATATATATTACGCCTAAAAATATATTTATATGTATGTATATATATATGTATAATATATAATTTAATCATAAGGGGAAATTAGGTGACGTTCCAAAAGGGTTTCGCGCGTTTTCACAAATTAAGGACTTAAAGCTCGCAAAGATTTCTAAGATTAAGCAAAGTACATGTCTTATTCGAAGAGCCCAAAGGTCTAAGAACACGGCGATTATTCGACATTCTCGCGGGACTCGGAGTCCTAGGTGTTTTACACTTTGGACTCTATTCGATTTAAAAAAACTTTTTTTTCCAAATTACGCTAAAGCCACGGAGACAGCGAGTTCCCCTGAACTAACTCTCAAGAATTAAAGTTTCCGCAGAATCGAAATTATGAGGATACGGAATTCCGAATTAAAAATCATCATGCTAAGATTCGCAGAGTCACCTCTATACGTCATCGTAAAAAGAAAGGATCGTGAACGAGTACTGGGCGTTCCAGAGATCTAACGAGATCCTGCGATTCCAAATTGGTCGAAAAGAACTCGTGGCTGAGAAAGAACCCCTTATAGAATTTAATGTTGGAAGGTGGATAGTGATTAACTATTTATTTTGAGTTATTAAAACACTGCAGTTTTCAGTGCTTTCGATACTCCAAATAAATAATTAACCACCTTTCATGTTTATGTTTCCGTAATTATACAATTATAACTATAAGAACATCGTCCAACCGCATATCGTGCTTCGATTCTCGAGCAACGCTGTAAGTTTTTAACACGACACCCTGTGTGTTACTTCCTCGCGAGCTCAACCTGTTGAGCCGGCTCAATATCGAAAGGATACGCAGAAGATGCAGCGTAGAAGTCTTTCAGGAGGAACCCTCCACTCCTCCCGTATTGGGGGTGGTCGCTTTGCGAATCGCCTAGGTTTTCGAAGTGTCGATTACAGCATGAATGTGAGCTTGATAAAGGAGAAACCGATTGAAGTCTAAGGATCATCGATG